AAACTGTCCTTGTATACAGAATATTTCGCAAATGCAAAAAGAAAAAGAAAATGCAAAAAAAAAAAAAAAAAGAAACAGTTGCATCTGCTTCACTCATACATACAGACGAAGCGCAAAAGAATCCAATTTATTGAATTGTCCAAATTGAATAATTAAATCTGCTGAAGCAAGGGACGTGACGCTAAACATCTTTGAAGTTTCCGATCGGGAACTGCAACTGAGAAATGGAATCGGTAAAAAAAAAAGAATAAATAAATAAAAACAAACGGGCAATAATAAAAGAAAATAAGTAAAAATGATTTTAAAAAAAGAAAGAAAGAAAAACGTGATATGATCCAATATTACACTTTCCAGCGATACCATTATATATATATTTTTTTAATTTTCAAATAAGACGAAAGAGAGCGGGTTGACAGTAATAAAAATACATTCAACATTTCCCCTGTCACCACCACACTCTCATTCGCCATTCTGGCCCCAAATGCAACGAAACTTAGAGGTCTGAATGCAATCATAAAACGCTGAACGTTCTCTAGCTTCCACCTCTCTATCCTTCTGAAATCTGAGCTCCAAAAATGCCAAAGCTAGATTCTTCACTGTAATTATAATAAAATAAAACATCTTCCTTTTGCTATATCTTCCATTCGCCAATAGGGGCCCGAATTACAGCGGAAATTTTAGATTTGACTCTGGAGATAATACAATGAATTCCTTTTCTTTATCCTAACCAGCCGCATTCGATAATATGTCTCAAACGAGAGGAAGCTTAACAGAGATTTATGTTGTCATAAAACGATGAATTCTTTCTCTTTTGTTACTTGTCCTATTGACTAATATGCGCCCCAAATTTGAAAGGGTTAAATGCATACCTAATATAACGGAATTAGTCACATTCGTTTTGTCTCAACTAAGGAGTACTTAAAATTGTTTACTGCCATCATAAACTGAGAAATTTCTCCCTCTTTCTTTTAGTAACACATCTATTGATAAGAATGGGCCCCAACTGCCAAAGCATTAACTGCATACAAAATGTGATGGAAATTCTTTTTAATTATCTATTCGATTCACTACCGTTGCAACGTGAAAAACTTGAATGTCAATGTGGATTTGTATTTTTTAATACAATATTAAATTTCAATCCGTGCTCGTGAACTGTAAAGGGTTAAAATTAAAATGGTTATGCGAAATCACGTGTATGGGTCGAATTATAGCGCTGGTGATAGCAAATGACGATTATGAGAATAAGTAGAATAGTTAACGATTGATTGTAGATTTGAAGTGTTTACAAGTGTAGTGTCTGTGTAGTGTCAGGGAATAATGCTAGTGGGAGTCTTTTACATAAAGTATCGGTTCTTGGAGAAAAGCGGACTACATAGAAACTTCCTGTTACACTGACGAGGAACTCTTTTGAATTCGTGACAGTAGCTTATAATAGAAATCCGAACTATCGGAACTGAAGAATATAGCATGTCTGATAATTGTACATAAAATTAGCTATAGGCTTACGTCTCAGGAAAAGAGCCTACAGAGTGGTCAACAAAAACGCGTAAGTTTTGTTTGTTCATCCATCAAGTCGGGAGGGTGAGAATTCAGCAAATCCTGCCCTGATATGCAGGCAATGCAATATTTTGGTCTAATCTGACTCTAATAAAGGAAAAATAAGCATGATGTGCATTTAGTAAATCCTAAATACTTCAGATAAAAAATAGTTATAGGGGAAAAGGAAATTGAACATAAATTAGGTTGCGCCAAAGATAATTTCGCCCAATACCGCTAATGGCTACAAAACTAAAACATCGATATGAAAACTCGAGTCATGTTCTTAAATAGGTTCGTCAGATCGAGACGTTTATATGGATGTCATGTATGGCACCAAACCAGATCAGAAATATCTAAACTGTCAGCTGTATACAACCGATTCCTAAGATCAACTGTGAAAAAAATGCTTTGAACAAGTTAAGCTTAAGGACCTTGGCAAAGATCATCGCTCTTACAACATTGTGACCTGGCGCTACAGATTTGCAATGAAATAAAAGTACCAAATAACAAAATCTAATTCAACAAAATTAGCACCAACTGAAATCGATATCACATGTAACTTGAAGCGGAAATAATGATATAATCAAGATATTAACATTCCACATTACTTCAAATAATTGTTAGGAAAGAAACCCCCAGTCAATATTGGAAAGAATATCCGTTCTTAATGAAACGCACTTATATATTAGGTTGGTGCAAAAATAATGACGTAATAATGTCGTTTTTTGGCGTATTTTTTAACGTCAAAAAACGACATTATTACGTCATTATTTTTGCACCAACCTAATATAATGCGTCTTAATTAAACCCCCGTTATAATAGTCACCAATAATATTAATATCAGAAATAAAATCAAATTCAGTACCTTTAAATGTTTATAAAAAATCTTCTACAAACTACTTCGGTTTCTTACGATAATTATTCTCTTCTGGAAAAAAAAAGTCAACTACCAATTCTCTATTCATGTTATACGGAGAAATCAAAGATTTCAGTTATTCCTAATAATTTCCTTGACACATTTGGCGTTCTCTCGTTCAAGCCGATAAAGTTCTTCAATTTTGAGGTTTTAATCTATTTTCGTAACCATCGAGTCGAGTTATTTCTTGCAAATAATCTATCCAAAGAAAATCCGAACTAACATGTAATTATATGTTCTTTTGAGTGTACGGGCGTCAATGGACTGACAATTCCTTTGTTATTGTATTATTGAGATAAGTCAATGGAATAATGTATAAGAGACAAAATAATGAAGCTGGAAACTTCTCTCTATTAATGACCTGAATGACCACTTCCTGCCTCTCATCAGTATGGCTGATGCTAATCTCCATGAGAGAGATTGTTGCGACTACTCGGTCTAACATTTTCGGCTGACAGGAAGTGAAAACACCATTCAATCCATTATTGGTCCTCTGCCAAGTAAGTAAATTCATTGTGCCGTGTTCACACCAGAAACCATTTTGCATATTTATAAGTTTGCCATTCGTCCATGCTTTGAATATTGCTGCCACATCTGTTCCACTGCCTTTCCTGTATATTCAGAGATTCTTGATAAAATTCAAAGAAGAATCAGCAATATAATTGGTCCTAACAAGTTGTCTCGGCTTCATTCAACTTCCCACAGCTGTAATGTAGCTCCCCTTTTCTATAAGTAATTTCAAGGTAATTGTTCGGATGAACTCTTCGTTTAGGCATTGATAGAATTTTATGAATTTTAAGCCCAGTACTAGATTGGCGGTTAGGTCTCATCAATTCAAAGTTGATTTCTTTCCAGTAAACTTTGATCTTCAAAAGTTTAAATGCAATTTTAATCGCTATCTACAGACTTGATTACTCTTTTATTCTTCTCGTTCCCTAACGTTTCGGTTTTTTTTTTCTTGTTATTCCACACTCAGTAATCATTTGTGTCTTAGCGACTTTAATACCTCGCTTGGGGTGATTTGATTAAAAACATAAATTAAAACTGGAGAACATCAACAATAAGGTGAAAGTAAAATAAATTATGAAAGAAGAAACGAAAGACGAAATCCACTTGAATAAGAGGAAACTTAAAGTTGTTAGAAAAAAGATTAAGAAAAAGCAAAATAAAGAAGAAACAAAGAGAGTGAATTAGAAAGAAAGCGAACAATGAAGTAAACAAGAAATCGAAAGGGATCCCACGAACGCAGGTGTTCCCCAAGGCTCCATCCTAGGCCCTATTCTATTCCTTATTTTCATCAACGACCTTCCTGACGCAATAGATTCCCAAGTTGGCATCTACGCGGAAGACACTACAATTTACTCCTGCCTCAAAAACAAATCTAGTGTCGCTGACAAAACTAACCTGGCCGCTCGTCATGAAATGGACCTCCAGTCGGTTGTTAATTGGGGCAAGAATTGGCTGGTCAACTTTAACGCCTCAAAAACTAAACTACTCTCTATTAATCACTATAGAGATCCTTCCCTGCCCACCTCCATTAGAATGTCTTGATAGTCAACTTCTTGAGAGCAACTCTCTGCGTCTGCTCGGTCTCACGTTGACTGCTGACCTGAAATGGAACAAATACATTGAGTCAGTTGCTTCGTCCACCGCGAGGAAATTTGGCTCTCTGTGCCGCGCCAGGAAATATTTCTCCCCGGAATCGATACTTCAAATATACAAAACAACCATTCCCCCTTGCATGGAGTATTGCTGCCATATATGGTCTGGTGCACCTTCTGTTTACCTCGGAGTTCTTGACAAGATCCAGAGACGGATATGTAATATAATTGGCCTTGATCTGACATCTCGTTTGCAATTGCTCTCTCACAGATGCGCCGTCGCTTCTCTTTGTCTTTTTTACAAATATTTTCATGGTAATTGCTCCGATGAGCTGATTTCACTGGTTCCCAGACTTCATGAATTCAAGCGTCCTACGAGGCTGGCATTCCGCTCCCACCCTTACACAGTCGAAACTTTTAAATGTAGCCGTCTCTTCTACTCCAATAGCTTCATACCTCGCACCTCTCGCCTGTGGAACACCCTTCCCAATTACTGTTTCCCTGAGAGCTATAATCTCCAACTATTCAAATATAATGTCAATCGACATCTCCAGTTACCTTGATCTATCGACTATCCCTCTCATCACCTATCACTCCTATATTCTTTCGCTCCAAATCTTCTGCAATCCGCTGCATCGTAGTGGCTTCACGCCTTGCTCGGGGCGTACTGCGTAAAAAAAATAAATAAATAAAAATAAATAAATACATAAATAAATAAATAAAAAATTAGAACGTGAGAAAGAAAGAATTGAAAATAAATGAAAAGAGATGTTAAGAAAAAAAATGAAAGAAATACAAACTGAAAAATAAAAAAGTCACTGAGAAAAGGAAGAAAGAATGAAAGAAATAAAGAATAAAAAATGAGAATGAAAAAAAGAAAGAAAAGAAAGAAAGAAAGAAAAGAAAAAAAGAAGAGCTTGAAAATAAGAATAAAATATACAAACAAGAAAGAAAGAAAGAAAGAAAGAAAGAAAGAAAGAAAGAAAGAAAGAGAAGACGAAAAAAAGAAAGAAAAAAAAAGAAGAAATCAAAAAAGCTATCACGAAAGAAAGAAAGAAAAACAAAGGAAAGGAAGTTCAAACTGAAAAAAACTGAATACAATAAAAAAGCAAATGGAAACAAAATCAAACAAAGGCAATGATGTGATATGGACGAATTAGTTAATCGAATTTAAATGAAAACGTGGAATAAAATTTGCTTTGCGTATTGGATAAATACAAGAATACATCGATGAATGTAAATTATTCCAGAATAAATTCCAAAGAAAAAATACACAAAATATTAGGAAGAGTGAAAGAGTAACGAGAAGAAAGCCGTGTACATCTGAAGTAGACGGAGAGAGAAGACAACGAAGACAAAACGAAATAGAATAACAATGAAAGAGAAATGAGCTTTGAAGAAAGCAAGTGCGCACGCGCGCACACACACACACACACACACATATATATATATATATATATGTAAAGAAATTATCATAGATTGATAAACATGAACAGATAGATGGATAGAGAGAATAATAAAACAAAGAAAGAAAGAAAGAAAGGAAGAATAAAACATTGATAGATAGATAGATAGATAGATAGAGAGATAGACAGACAGAAATGAAAAAGTGAATAAAATAGATAAATAATAAATAAGCAAGGATGAATAGATAGATGAATGTATGAATGGGTGGATAGATAGATAAAATGAATAAAGCATACATATATATATATATATATATATATATATATATATATAGTGAGAGAGAGAGAGAGAGAGCGATAGATAGATGAAAATAAAGTTAGAAATGGATAATTTAGATAGAAATATAGAAATGAATAAAACAGATAGATAGATACATAGATAGATAGAAATGAATAAATATATATATATATATATATATATATATATATATATATATAGAGAGAGAGAGAGAGAGAGAGAGAGAGAACCTCCAGGTGGTGTAATGGTTAGCAAGTTTGTCTCGCTAGAACAATTACGACTGAGTAGTGAGTTCGATCCTCACTGGGTGCACCATACTTTCGACCTTGTGCCACATCTAAGCTTCGCTTGGAAAATAACTATATATATATATATATATATATATATATATATATATATATATATATATATATATATAGAGAGAGAGAGAGAGAGAGAGTGAGAGAGACTGTGAGAGAGAGTTTATTGAATGGGGATAGACATGGAAAAGAAAGATAAGCTGGATGAAATAAAAGAATGCATAGGAGAAAAATTTACAATAGGTATAGAAATAAATCTGAATTTTGACTGTTTTGTATCCATTTAGATAACATTCTAGACATGCGCATGAGAAGATATCTTCGGTTTCAGCTGTTTCGATAGTCAAATGATGCGCCCACTGAGCATACACTATCGTGGAGGAGAGAGTCAACTTTGGATAAAAAAAAAAAAAAAGGAGATGTTGAGTGGCTTTTTTTGGTACAGCTGTTTTACCCGAAGACATCCTGACGTGTTTCTTGCGTCCACTAACGTAGCTTTTCCTCTCCCACATCGTATTATGATGACATCAGACTAGCTCAGTTCTCCTCTGTAGTAACAATAATGGCTTGTACAACCTGTCAGTAGGCTGAGGTATCTGCAACTGTCACTTTCGAAGTCTCCGTCGGCATTAGCGAGTCTCATGTCACGTTTGTCCAAAACTAGCGGTGAATTTATTCCACAGACTTTCTCTCGACATGCTTTGGATGTTATTCTGCAATCGCAGTCGTCGTTATGTTAGGAAATTACATTTGTCTGACACGCTACTCAGTACTTAAACATTTCTCCTTATGGTGCCTTTCAGGACAGGGACGATTATGGCTGTATAACTTCCCAGCTTTTATGGATTTTTTTCTTTCCGTCCATCTTTCCGCCATCCATTCAAACAAGCTCGCTACTTTTACCTATCATTCTGCCTTGTGAGTGTCATATTTTCCAAGCAATCCTTCCTCATTATGTGTCATGAGTTTCGGGTCTCTCTTCCCGTTTCTGACCACGAGTTCTTTTTTTTTTTTTTTTTTTTCATTTTATTTAAGATTAACTCAATTCAGAATATTCTTAGTATGCTTTTGGAGAACCTCATTTCTGTTGTCTCCTGTTTCCGCCTCATACCTGGGGAGATTATATAAGATTCACTACCATATTAGAGCATTGATAGCACATAGTAATGCAGCACTCTTATCTTTGTTTTCTAACGAGAATTTTATCTTTCTCAGAATTTTTACCATCTTTTGAGGGCTTCATTCGCATGTATAATAAGTCTTTGGATTTCGGTGTCAGTATTTTAAGCATTTAACCCCAAGCAAGGAGGGATGACACAAGTACGCAAGGGGTTACAAAGAGCTGGAGAAAGAGTAAAGAGGCGTGATAGAGGAAAAGATGAAGAGAAGTATAGGGAATACCATCATCCTCATATATATATATATATATATATATATATATATATATATATATATATATATAGATACATATATATATAGATATAGTTACATATATATATAGATATAGTTTATATATATATATATATATATATATATATAGTTTATGCAAACTTAGGTAATCCGTATGGGTAGACCTGAGGGTTATGGTGAAATAGCTTATTACATGGAATCTTAACGTGGTCTGTTTTTTTTTTATTATATATATATATATATATATATATATATATATATATATATATATATATATATATATATATATATATATATATATATATATATATATATACCTGTTCCAGGGTCGAAACCTTTATGGCGCCAATATTTCTCCTCCTGGTCGCTCTTCAAGTGTGCTGAAGGATATAAACCCCTTGGGATTAGCCTTTCTCAACCCTTCCAACACCTGGTTACTAGGGTAACTGTACTGATCTCGGTCTGTCTACCCACGTTGTGATTGATCATAGAAACGGGACGGGGGCCGTATGCAAGTTGAGTCCGACGGGGTGGCAAAACACAAGTAAAAGAAAAAAAACTCACGAGACAAAAATTACTGATAAAAAAGGGTACCTTTTTTATCTAATGTTCGTTACATAAAAAATTGTTCTTCTTGAATGATTTCAAAGACTTAATCATCTTCAGAATTGTGTATTCGGGTGTGGTCAGTTAATCTAATCTCTACCAGTCGTTACAGCTGATTCTTCTTCCAGTTCGTTCTTTTTACTGTCTTTGATTTCCTTTTCTTTCGTCCTCTCAACTCTTTTCTGTCAATTTGCTTGTTTGGCCTTATGCCTGTCTGAGGTTTCTTTCAAATTTCTGTCGATTGGGGTCCTGCTTTTTTGACGCCGCAACCTGTCGGCGTCAGGGGTTTTCTCGATAATTCAAAAGTCGCATTATTTCTGATTTCCCATTATCGCTATTATTTTTCACCCTACTTCCTCACAGTGCCTCTGGTGGGGAGGCGCAAATCTCTCTCGGTCTCTTTGTTACCGTTTTCGAAAATGGTTCTTGATCGAGCGTCCTTTCTCCTCTTTCTCGCATATCATTTTCTGTTTCCTAATGAGATTCTTTGGGCGGTATTTGTCTCCAATCGGGCGTGGTTATTGCTTTGTGGGAAAGAAATTTAAAAAACAAAATCTAACGCACGCATGAACTCTCGCCCTTCTCACCTTTCAAAACAGTCCGCCGCTAATTAGATGTGAAATTTTTTCGTCTTGCTGAAAGCCAAAAACAATTGCTGCTTTGTTTTTTTAGATAGTCAAAATCTTAATTAATTTTGAAAAATGTCTTCACTTCATCATCGTGGGAGTTCTGATTTTTTTAACAGGTCAGAATCTGTATACAATTTCAGCGGTCACCTCCTCATCCCGGACCGATTAAATTTCTTTCCCATTGTTCTAAAAGTCCCATTTCTCCAAATTGATAATGAGTCTTATACACAAAAGTAGGCCAGATGCTTTGACCGATATTTTTATCAATCGCACATATGTTCATACACTTTTACCAAGCCTGTTTTTTTCTTTCTTTTGATTCTATTCTCCCAAATAACAATTCCCATTTCTTTTAAAATTCGGTCAGGCACGTTGGTAATCTTTGACACCTTTTTTCGTTAATGACCGGCCTTTTGCATTCCATTTTCTTTTTTTTTTTTTTTTTTTTTCTTCCCTTAGGATCGCCTAAGTACAATTAGAGAATTATTTCGAAACTTTATTCTTCGTTTTGTTAATAAACCGAATAAAAAAAATTAAATCATATTTCTATGAATATTTCTTTTCTTTAGTTTTTTTTCTAATAATGCCCACATTTATATATATATATGATGGTTTATGATATCAGTGATCGGTATGGATATTTCAGAAGGATTTTCTATGTCCCCAATAATTTTTTATCTCTACTTTCTGAATGATTTCATCATCAGCTGTTCCATAATTTTTCTTCCAGTCGTTCTTTTTACGTCTTTATTTCCATTTCTGTCTCTCTCGATCTTACTTATGCGTCTTTCTTTCAAATATTTTCCCCCTTTTTATGTCTTTAACATAAATTTTGTTATTTAAATCTGGCGAAATATTTTCTTGTTTCCTTTTTTTGAAAGTGTTATGGTCTTTCTTCCACGAACCATGAACTCTCCCAGGTTTTGCTCTTTTTTTCCAGCAGTCAGCCATGACAGTCGGACCGAACTTACTTGTGGCAACACTTTCGTTTTTATCTGTTTGTATTACTTTTGCAATCTTTCTTTTTTCTCCCCCCTTTTTTTCTTTCTTTTCCACTTTTTTTGTCTTTCTTTTTGTCTCTTTTCCCCCTTTTTTTTGTCTTCCCCCTTTTTTTCCTTCTTTTCCTTTTTTTGTCTTTCTTTTCCCCCTTTTTTTTCTTCCCACCCTTTTTTCTTTCTTTTCCCCTTTTTTGTCTTTCTTTTCCCCTTTTTTTCTTCTTTTCCCCCTTTTTTCTCTCTTCCCCCCTTTTTGTCTTTCTTTTTCCCTTTTCCCCCCTTTTTTGTCTTTCTTTTCCTTTTTTTTTTTCTTTTCCCCCTTTTTTTTGTCTTTCTTTTCCCCTTTTTTTTTTTTTGTCCCCCCCTTTTTTGTCTTTCCCCTTTTTCTTTTTTTGTCTTTCTTTTCCTCCCTTTTTTTTCTTTTCCCCCTTTTTGTCTTCCTTTCCCCCTTTTTTTCTTTCTTTCCCCCCTTTTTGTCTTTCTTTTCCCTTTTGTCTTTCTTTTCTTTTTTTTCTTTCCCCCTTTTTGTTTTTTCTTTCCTTTTTTGTCTTTTTTCCCCCCTTTTTTTTTTTTTTGTCTTTCTTTTCCCCCTTTTTTTTGTCTTCTTCTACCCCCCCTTTTTGTCTTTCTTTTACCCCCTTTTTTGTCTTTCTTTTCCCCCCTTTTTTGTCTTTTTTCCCCCACTTTTTTTTTTTCTTTCTTCCCTCTTTTGTCTTTCTTTTCCCCCCTTTTTTTTTTCTTTTTTCCCCTTTTTCTTTCTTTTTCCCCCTTTTTCTTTCTTTTTTTTTCTTTCTTTTCCCTTTTTTTTCCCTTTTTGTTTTTTTTGCCCTTTTCTTTCTTTTCCTTTTTGTTCTTTTTTCCCTTTTCTTTTCCTTTTTTGTTCTTTCTCTTTCCCTTTTCTTTCCATTTTATTTGTTCCTTTTCCTTTTGAATTCCTCTCTTTGTGTCTTTATTTCTGGCCGTAACAAGGCCACAACAGAAAGTCTGATGAATTGGGGCCGTTTTCAAGAGTTCATGGTATATATATATATATATATATATATATATATATATATATA